TGTCTATAATATCTTTGAGGGGGTAATATCGATGAGTTTAAACATTCTCTCAGGTGTAGAGTCGTCGGAGTAAAAGACATTTGCGACATACCAACATATGTTTATTTGTGAAATTTGATACATATTAAGTTTGTGTGAAATATAACACAAGAACACCTAAATTTATAGATGACCTAGTTCAATAAGGACCACTCGTCAACTATCATATTGATTCCGAAGATATATCTCTAGAACCACACCCTATTATCTTGTTTCGGAGATGCATATCTGGAACTTTCCCTAAACCATTTCAAAAGCAAACCATATAACAGAACCTTCCATAGATGTATCTCCGAAACTTTCCCTAAATCATTTCCAAACAGAACCATATAACAGACACTCGCATTAAGATGAAATATGAACTAAATATGCATAAAGACCAAATATGAATAAAAAGTGAATATGTAACACTTTATTTATATTGAGATATAAATATATACAAGTATTTGTCCTGTTAAACAAGAAATCAAAACGAATCGAAATAAATGTTGTTGCTAAATCTATAGGTGGTACCCCCTTGGACTTTTGCGCATTCGATTCTTTTTTAATGTTATTCAATCTCTCGAATTCATGCATCATTTCCATTCAATGATTCGTCCACTTATTGGATTTTGCGATTGCATGAGCCTTCTACTCTGGTGATGTAAGTGGTATGGGGAAACCCAGTTTCAAGTAAACTTGAACAAAATGACTTAATTTTGAAAGTCAACCAATACACATGATACGATCATCTAGATTTTGGGGTGATGCGGTGTGCAGTGGGAAAAAAGTTTCCGAAAAATCATAGCGTGTCAGATCAATGCACACCCTATCATATACACATTCTATTAGGTGATCCATATCCAGGAAGCTCATCCATTTTGACTCTGGTGCAAGACTGCTCAAGCAAGGAACAAGAGAATCATAAACCCCATTTATTTTTTATTTATTTTCGTACAACCGCATGTACGATTCTTTATGATTCTTCAACTCTTGGATAAGTTGATTTCGGACAAGTGCATGACCATCTTCTTCTTTACCAAGTAAAGTCGAAACGACTCAGTAACGGTAATTACCGTATTTGTGCATAAAAACCAACATCTCGCCGATGAATGGAATATTTGATCGAAACGGCGTTAGAGGTGGTTTCCTAATGTGGGCTCCTTTCATAACACTTTTTAGAGATTTTGGAGTTGGTGAGTCGGGAAAAACTTTGTCACTGTGTTCAAAATATGAAGGAGATCGTGTAGTCAAGTTGTCATTTGACGTAGGCTTCATTTTTCTCGGAGCACCTTTTATTTTTACTAGTTGAAAAGGAGGTTTCATGTTGGTGGTTTCGGGATAGGGAATATTCCTCAATTGTCCTTTGATATGGAGTTTCATGATGTCACCGACCTTCAAAAATCTCTCTTGTATCGCTTCTCATTTGGTCAAAATAGAGATATTTGATTTACCGTCATCCATCATCATCGAACATAAGTCTCCTCCAATGAAAGCAAACCTCGTCCATTCGTATTGGCTCACCAAGTTTCACCTTTTTAGGAAGAGTACAAGCACAAGGGAGACCATATGTTTTCACAGTAGTGCAACCATACTTTACGCTATCAGAGCCTACATTATCAGCTCTTTTAGCCTCGTGAAAAATATAGTTCAAACGCGCTCGAGAAATGTTATCGACCAAATGAGAATATAAAGTGTTGTCTTTAAATTAGAGTTCCAAAACTGTGATGCTTTGACCAAATGTTGTTTGTATCTCATTATGCTGGTTCTAAATCATGTGGTTCATAGAGTCACAGTCTCTACACAAATCCCCTTTGCTATTTCCCAACCAGTTTTTCAAAGTAGCATGAGCCGACTCAACTCTGTTAGTAGTTGTATTTCCAAGGTGTCTAACATTATCAGTCTACGCACAAACTATCTCCTCCTTCACCTGATCGAGAATGGTGCTTTCGACATATTTCAACAAATCTGGATACTTTTCACACACTTTTCGAAAATGAATAATCAACATATATTTATTTTGTGGAAGAATTTATTATACGATTCCATGCATCCATAAGTTTTTCCACAATCACACCCGCCTTCACCAATTTTCCACCTTCAGACTTTATTGGTTTTGTCCCTACCGCAGGTTTTACCCGACTTCTCACATTCTTTATTATGTGATACTTACAACGTAATGCATAAGAAGAAGGAAATACCTTAGCAGTCGAATTCATCAATGTGATATCGGGGTCAGTAACGATCGCTTTAGGAATCTCACTTTGATCCTTCAAAAGTGACCGACACACCTCTAATGACCAAGTAAAATTGTCCTTTTTTTCACACTCAAGAAATGCAAAACCAACATAATATGTCTTCTCAGTTGAGGTAACACCAATCATCTCAAATAATGGAAGTCTATACTTGTTGGTCTTGTAGGTTGAATCAAGTATGAGCATCGTCGAAAATGTGATGAACAACTTTATCGAATTAGGATGAGTATAAAAAATATCTCTAATCGTAACTCCATCATCGCACGTTTTGTACCGATATACACAACTGTTATCGTCCAACAATTTCAAGAGTTGATGCATCTCAGTTATACTCCCTAATCGCCTTGTTAGTGAGGTTCCGAATGTTATACACTTGCTTGATATTTAATATATCGTCGAGTCGCTTCCGTTTCAATGTTGCAAGTATATTTTTCGGTTAAACAAGACTCAAGGTCATGTCATTAATACATTCTTTCTCTTCTGGCTTGAGCTGACATACAGTAGGATGACCGACTGATTTTAAAAACAAATCATGGTTATGCAAACCACATATCACATTAAATCTCCAATTTTTGTTTGCCAACGTGTAACCATGAACCTTAAACGGACACTCACATTTTTTACTATCTGTGACGTCTCTTTTAAGACTTCGGAGAGGAGTTTGACATCTCCCGCTTCTTTTGCACATCATTGTCACAAAGACGCATCTTCTATTTGAGCCACTATCGGACCTTCCGATAACCATATCGAATCCAAGTCTAGATGTCTCCATGCGAATCCATTCCAACATTTTATCACGATTTTCAAACTCTTACTTGTCATTAAAGTCATTGCCAACATCTACCGCCTTCACAACAACCCCTTGAATATTCAGAGAAGCTACTTGTTTTGGGAAAATATCGGGATACACGATATCTATTGGAAACAATTAAAATAATTACAGAACATTAATTAATCTACTGCTGCAGAAAAGCTGGAAAATAAACACATAGGCATTCTGGAAATGTATCTCCGGACAAGTTCATACACGTTCTGGAGATATATCTCCGGACACAGTGTAAGTTTTTTCAGAAAAAAAAACTCATGATTAATGTGAACAATGTATAGGAAAAAGAACAATCTTTACCTAAGATTCTATCTTCTTTTACTCCCTGTGATATGTTGAACCAAAATGTTGGAGATCTGAAATGAAAAAATGAATGATTTTTAGGGTGAAGGTTTATGTTGAGAATGAAGTATGATAATAATGAGAAAATTTAGAAGCTATGTCAAATATTTTTGAAGATGCATCTTCGGAAATACCTGACATGCAAAAGTGACAGAAAAATTTAAATTGCCACCCACAATTTCGGAGATGCATCTCCGAAATATCCCTGAATTGGACAATTAAAATGTTTTCCTAAAGCTGTTTTAGAGATATATCTCTGAAACAAACTAACTCAAATATATGTGACGTATTTCAGAATAATCTTTATTACGTATGTATAAAATGCGTCCGAAAATATATCTTCAAAATTAAAGACATATGTGAAAATCCACGTGATATCATATACTAAAAGTGTATAAAGTGCACTAAAAGTTTCTCTATAATTTTGTATACCATCATTGGTTTGGTTTGGATCTTAAAACCATTTATATAAAATCGGTTTATTTTTTTAAAACCGGTTTACAAATGGATCGGTTCGGTTTCAAACCGGTTTTTAAAGAAAAAAATAGTTTTTTTAAAAACCAGTTTCTCTCAAAACCAATTTTTTTTTTAAGAAATCAGTTTTAAAACCATTTTAAAAAAATCAATTTTATTATTAATTATCCATGTGCACATAATGTTAAATGTAGATGCATTACTAGAAACAGATCAATTGGACTAAGTTTATTATCTATTTAGAATTAAATGTTAAAATGCTTTAAAATTTCGTTAAAAAATTTGAAAATAAAAACATGTTTAATAATTTCCAACTTAAAACTAAACTACTTTTTAAATGATTGGTGAAGTATACTATATCAAGTCTCAAATATATGACTTTTTTTTTAAAGATTTCTGACAGCATCCCAATAGAAGTGCTTTACATGCTAAGCAATTGTCCAAATAACTTTCTCTCATCTTATGCACATATATAATTCAACTTTGTTAAAGAAAATATAAATTTATCTATAGTAGATAACAAGTCTGTTATTGAATTTTCTTTTTCTACTGCTCTTGTTATAAGTGCTCCTATTGACTTTCAAGTCGAACACAGCAGAAGAAAAAAAATTACTTTCTATTGCTTCTGAAAAATATTTTTGCTGACTGGTCCAATCATCGACTTGAAAGTAAAATTTCTTTGTTAGCCATTATCTATGATGAGTTAAAAAATAGATCGAACAATTAATATAATGAAAATAGATCGAACATTTGGTATGCAAGCATAACAACTGAGAGTTTAAAATTATAACAGTATACTATTTCGATAAACCCATGATTGTGATTTAGAGAATTAAGATACAAATGAGATTAAGGTTTGAAATTTAAAGAATGATGAAGAAGAAAGAGATGAATAAAATTTGGATTTTGAGGATTAGAGTTTTTGAAATTTGTGTTGATCTTGATTTTTCCAAACTATTAATTGAAAAATGGTTACCGAATCTCAATCCGGTTTCAAACAAATGGTTACCGGTTATTTTTTAATTTGATAAATGGACCACCAAATTTAAAATATAAATTTGGTTTGGATTTTAAAATTTAGATTAATTTGGATATAAATTTGGTTTATGGTCATTGGTTATTTTGCACACCCCTATCCATGATCGTATCACAACCATTCATAAACACATTTAAAAGTTTAAGTAATTACCATTAAATACTTTACAAATTCTTTACACTTTAGTGTATATGAATTAAATTGATATAAAATTTTCATACAAATTAAGTATAAATGAATGTATTTTCATTAAGATATGTTTGATGAAGTTTTCATCAACTATCACGATCTGGAAAAGCATATTTATCAAAAATAAGGATCTGTAACCGCGTAACCAAAACGAAATTTCGGTATCTGATCTCCAACACCATTCTGATCTCATCACATCATACTTCTCTCCCTCCAGTCTCGCCATTCCATACAGTATGTATCTATCCCCTCTCTTCCAATTCTTCTTCCCTGTTCATCGATCGATCCTTTTTAATTTTGAATCTTTTAGAAAATTTTTAAGGTTTTGTGTGAATAAATGCAATCAACTTTTTATATTGATTGTGATTTATTTATTTTTGGATTATTTCTCGCAGTGCCTTCAATGGATCCTCCAATTCCCATGAAAGTTCTTAATTTATGTTCGATGATAATTTCATATTCTTAAATGATAAATCTGTATGTTAGGAATAAGAAATTTGTTTTTTTTTTTTTTATTGGAGACTTGAATTTTAGTGGCTTATATGCAGATTTGTTGTTTGTTAAAGGGTTGCTAATATATTTGTTTGGTGTGTTGTGCTAAAGTTTAAAAATGGAGGGGACTGCTTTCACTCCTGCACTGGAAGAACTCCAGCATGTAAAGTCTGAGCAAGGAGAGATTCTTACCAAGCCTTTCTTGGATTCATGCAGACACATATTGCCTGTTATAGGTGCCTGTTTATGGTCCCTTATTGTTTTGTAAAGGGAAAATTCAATTATCCTTGTGATTGGTGATAATATATATGCTAGATCTTAATGAATTGTTCACTCTTGATCACCTTCTCATCTACGAATCTATGAAGCACAGACACCTCTGGGGTTAGGTGTGTCTCGATGTCTGACACACATCAGTGTTGGACACCCGTACTAAACGTGTCTGACAACTCAGACAAGTGTAAAACAATTTTCTTTCTGTATCCTCACACCTTTGACACTCTCTAGACACATCTATATGGGTTAAAGATGTGTTGAAGCAATGATGATCTATGTGAGGGTTAATGACATTAAGTTTACATCACTTTTAGCTTTTCGGTAGTCGAGAAATGAATGAAAGTGAAAAACTATCATTTAGTTCTATAATTTTTTTGCAATGAATCAAATTGCTCAATTTAGATATGCACTTATATGTTTTGATTATCAATTTAAATCTTTTATAAATAATTTTCATATATTATTTAAGTATGATGTATAAATAAATATTTATGTATTGGTGTCTGTCTTATGTTTTTGACATTAGCAGTGTTTGACGTGTCCGTCATGTCATATTATTCCTCTTCACTAATAAGTAATTGACGTGTCCGTCATGTCATATTATTCCTCTTCACTAATAAGTAATTGACGTGTCCTTCATGTCATATTATTCCTCTTCACTGATAAGTAATTTATATGCTACAGTATAACTCTAGAACTTCAATATGTACACACAATAGATAGATTGTGAATTATTCTGTTGTATAGTGTTTACATATGCATTAAGTGATATGAACACTTGTACTAAGGTAATAAAAAGTGAAATACTGATTTTATTTTTTATGTATGACAGATAAGTTTGGACCTGCTATGACCCTTGTTAAATCCGACATAGGTGGTAATATAACGGTATGTTTCAGCCAATTGCTCTGTTTGACTCTTACTTGAATGTATATGTCATTGTCAACGCTATCAAATAGCGGTGCTATAACACAGCAGAATTTGAACAAGTCATTATTGTTCCGCGATACACTATTAATACAAAGTGTTGTATACAGAGGCTATAGCACTTTAGGGTAATGGGATTTGAACAAACCTCTGTTTTCCGCAACCTATGATTTATAACACTGGTCAATGTGGTCGTCATATCCATCTAGCAGCTCTGGATGTATTCCTTTTTATTTCTTATGATTACAATTTACACGGTGAAGCTGTATAATGATATTGAGCTGCAAATGGTTTTGTTTTCTGTTTGTGGGTCTTTATTTCTTATGATTAAGCTTTTCTTACAATTATTGGTATGTACATGTTCCACCAGGTTTAATATCCTTATTATACGGTGTATGGTCTCACTTTATGCCTTATTAATTTTCATGGCAGAGATTGGAAACTTTATACTCATCCAATCCATCAAGATTTAATATTCTGTACAGTTTGGTACAAGTAGAGATCGAAAGTAAAACCGCTAAATCATCATCCAGTTGTACCAATGGGCTTCTTTGGTTGACAAGGTAATTAGTGGATACCATGCAGTTTCCATTTAACTTTTGTTTCATGTTTGTTTGACATTCTCATTTCTGTTATCTAGAGAACATTTTTTGATAATTTGTTTTAGGGTTAATGTAAGAAGTTAAGAATATTAACATGTGTATGCATAATCTATGCATGCCTGGATATTAAACATGAGAGTATAACATTATGAATATGTCATGAAGCAACTCAAGTGTGAATAAGGAAAGACCAAGCCTGAACTTGTTTCATGGCTACTTCGAATAAATGGTTAACTGGTGATATGGACAGCAGCTTCTGCTTGCACGATTTCTGAATAAATAGATGTAAAATATAATGTGGAATTCAAATTCAGTGAGACGGCAAAGGCGCACATTAGAACTCGCTTGAGTCACAACTCACATGATTTAAGTACCTTGATTTTATCATGAAAGTGACAAGAAATTGAGGGTTATGCAAATTACAGGATTCAAGTTCGTAAATGAACTTACTGATAACTTGGCTTTTGACTGTTGGTACAATATAATGATGTTTGGACTTGTCACGCGTCTAATAGTCAGGTTATCTTCCTCAAGGTGTTGAGTTGAGGCATTAATATCATAATCTTAATTATTATTTGGTGGTAAGACCTTAGCTTATTCTTATTAATATTATGGACAAGATCTTAGCTTATTGTTAGTTGCTATTAATCGGTCACACAATATTATTTATGGTAATTTAATTTAATTAACCTGAAAATCTAACAGAGCAATGGATTTCTTGGTGGCTTTGTTCCAAAACTTGATTGTGCATAAAGATTGGCATATGTCACAAGCATGTACAGATGCATACAACAAGACTCTGAAGAAGTGGCATGGCTGGCTTGCTAGTTCAAGCTTCACTGTAATGTTCTTTTCGTGCTCTATTTTTGCAATCCTCAAACTTTACGATAGAAATAGATTTTATTTGAACTTCACTATTTAATCTTGCTTCACATTGGCCTGTTCCTAGGAAATGCATTGAGTTACATATTCTGCTGTCATTTTTTCTACAATCTTTGCTCCTTATTGTGTGAATGCTACATTTTTTGAATAAACAACTTTATGAAACACTTATTATGTAAGTGATTATGTATTATCATTTTTTATAACAAAAGATAAAATAAAGTTAAACTGTTTTTACATATGCTATAAATTATTTTCATAAGGTATCTTAGAGAAGTTATAGAAATAAGCTGAAAATAGCTTATGGACATGTCATAAGCTGTTTTCATAAACTCTTCTAAACAGTCTCACAAGTACTTATCCTAGTAGATAAGCTTAACAAAAGCCGATCCAAAAAGACACTCTTTATTGTAATTTGCTATAATTTAAACTTAAAGCATATCCGAGTTCCTGAAAAGATTTGAGCTTGAAAGCATTTAAGACAATAAAATAAAGATGACATCTTTATCTTCTAGTCTCTACACAGTAGTCTATTCAACTTGAATCAAACACTCAAACACCATGCAGTTTTCCCTTGTCTCTCTTTCTGTCAATGTTTCCTTGTTTTGTGTTTTTCAGTTATTTGTTTTTCCATTAAAGATGGTTAGTGTGTGGAACTGAATACCATTTGGAATGCATTGAATGTTTACTCTCTAGGTAGTCATGAAGCTTGCTCCAGACAGGAAAAAGTTCATCGAGGTGATAGGAGGTACCGGTGATATCAATGCTGACATAGAGAAATTTTGTACAACCCTCTCTCCTCTCCTTCTTCAGAATCACAAGTTTCTGGTAAGATCTCTTGTCATTTCTGGTCTTATTTTTGATGACCACTAATGGCATCGATCAATAGAGAAAAGATAGAAGCTAACTAGACAGAATTTATTTCTGGAAACACTGAAAGCAATGTTTTGAAAATTTTCAATCTATTTTATAATGCAATCTTATTCTTAGGAGGACCAAATAACAATTTAAAACTCGATATTTTTTTGTTGAGTTTATTAAACTTACTCATGGCGCAGGCGCGATTTAAGTTGGATGATATGAAGGCATCATGAGTCTCAGATTCATTCATGCATTGTCAGAAATACCTAATGAATGGCTCTTGCATGGAATCATGGTCAGAAGTTCCTCATGAAGGGCTCTTGAATGCTCAATCTTATTTTATCCATGTTTTCAACTTTGGCACACAATTATCATGATAAATAAGTTTTATCTTCAATGTGCCTCTAACTTTACTCTATACAACTTTATTCTGTTATGTCATAGTATTTGTTGCTATCAAAGTTTACTATGATGCTAAGGCTACTCCATTGACTAGTTTTCTGTAATACCATAAAAAATATTGGTGATGGAGCATAGATTTACACTGGTTCAACTTTTGCTCGTTGAATGTCCGTTTGGTCATAAAAATCTTGTTATTATATAGAATAAATTACTCACATGTTTTGTGCTTACTCACATGTTTTTTTGCTTATGTATATTGGTCTCAGTTTGGGTGATAGAATGATTAATGTTTATCAACTTCTTTCCATATTAAAACTTTTCTTGTTCTTTATCATAAGCAATTTTAATCACCTTTACAATTTATGATATTAGTTTTAAAAATTATTATCACAAAATTAAATTAAAACAGTAAAAATGACACCTTATAAACATTTTTTTGGGTAATAGAAAGATTAATAATGCTCATCATTTAAGCAAAGGGACTAAAACATATAGAGAAAATGGTTTAACTACAAGTTTTAGTCATGTTATTTTACCGTATTTACAAAATTAATCATTTTATTTTAAATTCAATCAGCTTTAATTTCATTCTCACATTTTTATATTGAAAATTATGATATGAACATTACAATGATTATGGGATGGTTCGTAACGTTCCTTCACAGTTTTTTAAGTGTCAGAAGTTTTTGAATATATAAACGTTCTCATATGTAACAAGTTTTTGAATATTTCACAATTATAAACGTTTTGTATGTAGCCCACTTTCGTATTAATCCACGCTTCATTTCATTTATTTTGTGCATTTTCATTTATTTTTTATTTAAAAAAATGCAACATTAGTTATATTGCAACGGCAATAAAAGTAAACGGTAACAAATTTCAATATTAATATAGTAAATAAGTTTAAAATCTAACGGTAATAAATTTCTATTTCAAATGGTAACATTTAATTATTATTATTAGTATAAATAGATTACTCATTGCATCCAATATTTAGGTCACATCTAGTCTAAATTTGACTAATTTAATTTATCTCATTTTAGTTTTTGCTTACATATTTCTTTTCACAATGAATCCCAATTAAAATAACACTTGTCCAATTTTATTCAAAATGATGGAAGTCTTCCTAGTATTCCAAATCAACAAAACAACTCATATTTTAAAAATGCAACTCTTATTTCAAATCCAAACCATAATCCAAATTTTCAAAACTCTTTTTTTATCCGAAATCCACAAAATGACCCTCACTTTGAAAATTACCCGTATCATACACCACCTTATCTATATCAACATCAACAATTTCAATCTCAATCAATTAACCCTAATATGCCTCATGTGATTCAAATAGGTAGTAGTAATGTACAATCAAATGATCAAAAACATATTTTGCACTCAAGTTAGTACAGAAAATACTAATCTTGTTGAAGAAGTTGCATATGCACCGGTTGTGAATAGGTCTAAACAAAGGTTCCAATAAAAAGAGGATGGAATTCTTATTCAGTCATGTCTCGACATTTCAAAGGGTTCAATTGTTGGGGTTGATAAAAAAAAGAGATAGCTTTTAGAAGAGAATTGGCGAAGCTTTTAACAAGCATCATGACATCAATTACAAAGAGAGGAAACCGATGACACTAAAAGGGAGATGACATAAAATAAATCCACCTGTTCAAAAATTTGTTGGATGCTACAAATAAGCTGTATCTACACAGAAAAGTGGGAGCTCTGAGAACATTGTCATGCAAGCTGTGTATAAAATTTATTTCCAAGATGAAGGTGAAAAGTTTACATTTGAGGCTACACGGAGATTATTGAAAGATGAACCTGAATGGCTCACAGATTCATCTGAAGCTTCTAAAAAAAAGAATTTAACTTTAGGAGCATATCACTCATCTTATAATCCACTAACACCAACAAGCAACAAATATAATCCACCATCACCTACTATGTCACGATGTCCAATTGGTCAAAAAGAAACAAAAAGGAAGGAGAAAGAAAAGCTTGTGGAAATGTTTTCTACTCCCAATGTTAAGTATGATTGTTTGAAAGATGACTTCAAAAAAAACTTGATTTGATGTCAACGTATGTACGAGACTATGTACGTATTGAGGGTGCAAAGATTAAATAGGCTGAGAGTGGAGAGGAAAGATTGAAGATGAATGATCTACAGACACTCTCAAAAGATACATAAAATATGGATACAAGACAACTAAAAGCACATGAAATATTGTGTGACATGATTAGAGAAAAATATGGACTTAACTAGTATGATTATGTATTTTGAATTTAATTGATATGAACTTAATTAGTATGATTATGTATTTTGGATTTAATTGATATGAACTTAATTAGTATGATTATGTATTTTGGATTTAATTGATATGAACTTAATTTGATTTAATTTAAACTAGCCTTTATTCAAACTAGCTGTTATTCAAACTAGTCGTTATTCAAACTAGTCTTATAAATAGTACTAACATGCACGCTAAGCTTCATAGTACTTCTTTTCATTGTCTACCTCTTTCATTCTCTACAATTTATTATCATCTTCTACTCAATATCAAACTTTTTTTTACATGAATCCTTCCAATCCTTCCCACATTGTAATCATGTTTGTGGATTATATGCATGATGATATGGATGAAGAACTTGTGAGGTTGTTTATGAAAGAAGAAGCCTCGAGCTCTAAAAGGCCTAGACGTCAAAGAAGGAATATAGAGAGAAATCGTGAAGAGGGACATGATCGATTGTTCAATGATTATTTTTCTGAAACTCCGGTATACATGAATGAACAATTTCAGCGAAGGTACCAAATGCAGAAACATGTGATCCTTTGTACCGTTGAAGCTCTAGGTCAACACGATGAGTATTTTCGAATGATGGTTGATGCGTCTGATAGGTCAAGTCTTTCACCATTATAGAATTGCACTATTGTTATCCGTATGTTGGCATATGGAACATCTGCTGATAGCGTGGATGACTATTTGAGAATTGGTGAAGCCACAACACTTAATGTGAATAGGGAGGCACGAGAATTTTCAAGTATGTTAGGAAGCATTGATTGTATGCATTGGGAATGAAAAAATTATCCAATTGCACTAAAAGGGCAGTATGTTAGAAGTGATCATGGGAAACCAACAGTTATACTTGAAGCAGTGGCTTCACAAGACTTATGGATTTGGCATGCATTCTTTGGGGTAGCGAGTTCAAACAACATGATTGTTGAAGATGAACGTGCTACATATAGTGGAAATTTTAATTTTTCTTATGATCAATTGAGTAATGACGCGACAATATTGTCGAATGATTCTAATATTGATTTTCAATAGTTCCTACGCAGAAGATTTGACGTTGGTAATAAACAAGTTCATCGATACCTTCAACAAGATTTGATATAGCATATATGACAACGTTATGGACAGAAGAATAACAACAATTAAAAATTATTTTAAATACATCGCTTTCTTGTATTTTGTGCTAGTAATTTATTTTAATGTTTATGTTTTTTAATAAACTATTTGTGTCATGTATTGCGTTTTTTAATAAACTATTTGATTTATTTTAAATGTATATATTTTTTTAATGTTTTTGATATATTTGAATTAAAATGTTTCAATTATATTTTTATATAATATGTATGTGGGGTATGGATATTTGATATTAAAATGTTTTTAATATATTTTTATATAATATGTTTGAGATTTGGTGGAATTCTTTTTAGAGTTTTTAATATGTTGTATGGATATTTAAAAAATGTAGTAGAGTTATTTAACAAATAAAAATGTGTAATTTAATATAAAAAATTGAATAGATTTCATTTAAAAAACCTAAATGGGAATGATGGATATAAATGTTGTAACATATGTTACCCTACTTCCAGTGAACAAGTAAAGCCTCAACATTCTTAATATGTGAATAAGCGATCAACAACTTTGGTCCTTCTTCGACATACTTATAGATGTCCTGACTTGACTTTACTTTAATCTGACCTTTACACCTTTGACCAATACACATGTTATGTGTCCATTACCATTTATTTCCTTGTCTCTTCTTTGTCCAAGTGTTAATGAGGGGTTCCTATCTAAATATGTCACATGATTGAAGGTTGAATTATCTTTTTAACTTGAAGTTATATCGATTTCATCATACAATGACTTCGCGCATCGAGCATGGTGTGGCGAGCTCAGCATGAATGACCCGAGGATGATCACTATAAAAAAAGATAAAGTTTTAAATGGTAAAACCCTGTAATGCATGGATATTTTAGGGGGAAAATCCTAATTCACTACAAAAAAAAAAAATTTGAATCTTGTCACGTGAAATTCACTTCACAATTTGAAAAATTACTTCACGAACTGGTATTAGCGACGTGACTATTCATGTGGCAGGAAGACGTGTGACAACTTTATGAAAATCACGTCACAACTTTATCACGTGATTTTCACGCCACAACAAATAAAACAGAGTTGTAGGCGTGTGTAAGAAAGTTGTGACGTGATATTCACGTGGCAAGTTGCGAAGTGATATTCACGTGACAAGTTGCGACGTGAAAACCACGTGGCTAAGTTATTTTTATTATTTAAAAAATTGATTAATCTTTTGGTATGTTTAAAAATAATTTGTATTTTTATTTAAATTTAAAATTATAATTATAGTTTGTTTTTTTAATTATTTTAAAATACATATTTATTATTAAATTTTTTTCAATAATAATTTAAATTGAAAAATTAATAAATATAATTTTTTAAAATTTTTTTTTCAATAATTTAAATTGAAAAATTAATAAATATAATTAATACCAAAATTAAGAATAAAATTTTTAAATCAAAAGTGTATAATATACTAAAATGTAATTAATATTTTACAAAAATAAAAATTTAAAATTACAATAAATGCTTCGGATTAATCCGGATCGGAAAAATTGTCAATGTCAAAATCATCGTTATCCTCGCCATCTAACTGTTGTTGACCACCAACTTCATTTCCAACAACTGGATTACCGCCACCTTGTGATTGTATAAATTGGCGCATCATCGCCTCCATTCCAGCTTGGCTCTTATTCATTGCCTCAATCTGACGTTGTTGCTCCTCCATTTGGCCTGTTCGTTTCACCATCTCTAACTCTTTGAAATAGAGTTTTGTCCCCTTTTCTCATACCACCGACCAAAGCTCCAGCGCCAAATAAACATCCATTCGGTCCCTTTCCGCCACTTACTAAATCCCAAATATAAAAATCCACTCGTGGATTAAGCGGCTCAGAACCTCTAAAGTATACTGAGGATTCTCTACCAAAAATTGTGTGAGCAATACCTGATAATCCTCCTACCTATAAAATAAAAAAAATTAAATTGAATATAACTTAAATAATTTAAGTTAAATTAAATAATAAATATTGCCACGTGATTTTCACGCCACAATATTTCAGTTGCCACGTGATAATCATGTCATTAAATAAAAAAACAAAAATAATTTAAATAAAATGAAACGTTTTACTTACCAATTTTGTTTTTTGTGTGTTCGTCGACAAAACCCCCCGTTTTACTTACCATGCGTCGAGCATGTTTGACAACACTTATACTTCCAACTGCATTAAGGCTACCCCCTTTTTTCAGATGCTCTCATTTTCTTTGCTTTTTTAGATCTTACCTTAAAATCAGCATCTAAATCCCAATAAATAAGAAGTTCATCAATACTTCTTTGCCTATCCAATTGGGGCGAATATTTTCAAGTTTCCAACGCTTTCAAGCATGTCATAGCATGTCAGAAAGTCGAACTGTTGTCCTGCCAAAATAATTTTTTATAACCTCTTTCTCATTCATTTTTTTCCCACGTACACTTTTCCTATAATGTTATAAGACATTCAAATAAAATAGTTAGACAATTATAATAAAAAAATAATTTAAACAAAAATAAGTTAACAAATAAATTACATAACTTAACAAAAATAAATTAACTATACCTTAAATAAATTAAACCAAGCTTCTCATTCGTCCCCTTTAACTTCTCTAAATCTCTTCCAAGCTTTTTTATACTTTTGCTGAATAACATAACTTATACACTGGGCAGCAGCCCGACTCGGCTCGAAACTAAACATCAATAATTTATATTAATATGAAATATGATCTTACCTGATCAGAGAGGATCAATGGCCTGCCACGCGTTGTTGGATTGCAGCTTTCACCGGAGTTAGGGAGAAAGAAGGGGGTGTACTTGCAAGACACTCCGATGCTTAAGTGAGTAAAGGATCAGAGTGAGAGAGCAAGTACAGAGAAATATGTGTAGAGAATAAGATACTTGACCCTCTAGTGAAATAGGGTATTTATAGATAGACCCCAACGCAGGGCCAATGGTTACTTGCATTGGGCCAAACTGCCAGGCCCAACCCAAGTGACTATCAGGGGTTACATGGCGTAGTGAATACTAGCACGTGGTCTTCACCCTATATCAACTACTCGTGATCTTCGGAAGGTGGGCTGACCAACTCTTTCGGAGGTGGGTAGTTTTCCTGATGACGTGTCCCTACATGGGGGAACACGTGGAGAACATGGGGGAAACATGTGCGTCTCCCCGTCAAGGGAATCGTCTGCCTGAAATATATGGCGCGTGCCTTACATGGGAGGATTGAGCCTTATTGGGCCTCCCAACGTAGTGTTAGGCTAGTGTCGCAACTGCGAAAAACAATCGGCGGAAAATAAAAGAGTCTCCCCCTTTCATTATTTATCCCAAAGAGAGGGAAAGGAAACGATCGGAAAAACCTAACGAAAAAGGGAAAAGACAAGGTCATCGCAACCAAGTCCTGGATTCGGGAATCGGTTACGCAAGGGAAAGGTATGAGCACCCCTCACGTCCTTCGTACTCGACGGTATCCATGCTTGTTATCTATCTAAGGGTGTGTTTAAACTATCTACGCTACAGGCTCACAGGACAAAAAGAAAAGAAAAGAGACTCGGCAGAGCATCGTCGCTCTATGCCTACGTATTCCCGTGTGCAATGGGAAAGTCAGAGTCAACGTAGTTCAACTAACTACGGGTGAAAAGAGGGGAAAGGTTGCTCGCCAAGACATCGCGTCTTGTGCCTACATATCCTCGTCTGGTACGAGAAATCCGAGCAAACGTAGTTCGGGTTGACACGAACACCGATTGGTTTAAGATGTTTTACCCAAGTAGGGTTAAACCTTCATTCTAGCAGTTAGGGACAATGCCTGTTTGCGGTAGAACCAAAGCTTAACAACACTCTTTTTTTATGAAAAAGGTTTTCCATTATTACAATCCTAAAGGATGAAAAAGGTTTTCACTTTGTTTTTGAAGTCTTTTAAGGGGAAGTGTTTTGAATTGTTTGTAATTCATGTTGCACTAAAGACTATGACCTAGGAGCGAATGCGTCGCATATCGTCCAAATGACATATGCTAACATTCTAGACAATTGAGAGGCAACCACCCAATAATCATTTCCAAAGTACTTAAGGCTAGTAACGCACAATATTTGTTAACCTTTATTAAGTGTTTTGACATGATTTGAAGATGAGAAGGAGAGAGGACAAACTAAAGGGAGACTAACTCAAACCTAATAGTTGTCATGCAAATTGGTCCTAAGGTTATGTAAGAGCACAGATTGTGTCTCAGTAATATCTCTATGTTTTGATGATAACATTAATGATAATTTGTATACAAGAATTATACTCTCTAAATTTGTTCTAAACTGTTTTCTACAGGCACAAAAGATTTTAATCTTAAAGAGCAAATTTGATGTGAACAATGAATTCTGAATGGCTCAAGAGCATCTGAAGATTAGAAGAATCTGAAGTATAAGAGCTTAGTTATCAAGATTCTGAAGATACAACACGCTGCATGTATTATCAAGAATCTGAATAAGAGAAGACTCTGAGTGAAGAGACTCTGAATGAGAGAAGACTCTGATCTGA